AAAAAAAAAAAAAAAAAGAGAAAGAAATACATATTCTTATCCATCTAGTTTCGAGGCTAGAAGTAGTAGTCCGAGTTTTTCTTATGTGTGGATTATTCACTTCATTCTTCGGTGTAAATATCTCAGGTATTATGACTTGAAGGTCGGCAATGGAGCTGAAGCAGTGAAGGGATCTAGAGTTGCAGTACGGTTGTGGCAAAGTTGAATTGAGTATCTAAGTACAATGTTTGATTTATCTCTAAAAACATGTGTCTATAAGATAAATATGCAACATCACATTATTAATAATCCACCATCAAGCACACTGTACAAGTAAAACGTAACTTCTTATATTGAGCTTTGTAGATAGAAGTTCCATAACGTCCAAGCCTTTACCAAGAGGTCAAATGAAACTAAAAACAACATATCAGGGTTGCTTCGTCAATATAAATTATTTAGGTCATAGCTTACCAGCACTGCCTTGGACCTTCAATGAATTGTTTACTAGTATTGGTGATTACTTTGTTTATCGTAATAGTTAGACATGTCACATGGCGATGTTTCCCCTGAAACCTTAGAATTTGAGTCTTTAATTTTATGATATATTTGGAAATGTAGTGTATGTAGTCTCGATGTGCTTTACAGTCTCTTCATTCATACTCAAGTATAATATTTTTGTCAGGAATCTTGATTTACAGACTGCTTTCTTAAAATCTGATTGTATTATGTAATAATTGTAGGTCCACTATGTTGCTAAATGGAGGAACATCACATTCATGACAAGTAGACAAGGAATGGGAGTTGGTGGTGGAACAGTAAGACTGATCTGCTTTATTTTTTTCAGCTTGTATTCAGAATTTGTATAGCAATATCAGATACAAGTTTCAAGTGTGGAAACCTGGGACGTGTAAAACAATGAATACTATTGCATGACTAGTTAAGGTGTATCGTGGAAAACTAGCAATTAGTACATTAGAACTCATGCACCTTCACTTGAAATATTTTGTTTAAAACTTCCTTTAACGAAAATTGTGTTATGACATTCCCGTTAGCTTCATTAGTAGATTCATGTCATTTCCGTACTTCCAGACAATGCCAGTGTACTTCCGCTTCATGTTTATTTTCTAGTCCTTGATTTGGAAATTTTGTCAATCCTCATAATCCTGTTCTATATATATCTCTGGAAGGAACCATTTCATGGAAAACTATGAATTTATGAATACATTGATTAAAGCAAGGGCTCAAAAGTGTATTGTCTTTTTTGCAATGCCAATTGTTGGAGTCTTCGGATTCATCCTTTGAAGGTTATTCTGGGAACATCCGTTCTCTAAGAGGGATCAAGAGCTGTAGAAGCTTTTCTTACTTTACTCTACTTTCTACAGTTACTTTGCCTTCTTTGATTTAAGATATCGTGAATCAGAACTGCTTTGGTTTGCCAACATTATGGTTATGGTCTTGTGTACTTGATCTTAGCATAATGCCAAAATCTAGGGGGATTAGTTTGTTTTTGTCATGGATTGGTTTTCTGAACATCTATTGCATGTGAAGCTTTTTGACTTACTTTTTCTTTTTTTGAGATATCAGCATGTTTCTTATCCAATATACTTTACTTCATGTAGCCTTATGGATTTGACGTTGGTCAATCAGAGAGGGGAGCCGTCCTTAAAGGATTAGATCTCGGTGTTCAAGGGATGCGAGTAGGAGGACAGGTGAGACATTTAGCTTATTGTACTTTCATCACATGCAGGATATTTTTTTATTGCGTAGACGACCGCACAACCTTCTCTTATGTAGTTCCCTGAGGAAAGGGGTATGCTAAAACTTGAATTTGTTACACTCTCATTAGGTTCGGTTATTGCGTGAATCCTTCTGATCTAAATGGAGACATATATATCAATATAAGAATAAATGTGAGATTTAGAGAATCTTTAGTTTTAGAGAAACTCTATTTGCCTTATAAGGCGCATTATTTAATATTGTAATAAAATATGCCCGAACAGAGCAAAATGGATATAGAGGATTCATACAGCTAACCCTGAGTAGTTTGGAACTGAGGCATAATTTATTGAAAGTATAACTGTGGTCAAATTGATGAGATCATCGCGCACTTTATTATCAGAAGGTCCTTAAGTTTCATGTTTTTCCCCTGAGCTGAGAGTCCTGGACCACAACTACGTGGTCATAACTCAGTGTATCATGCCTTCTGACGATGAAATTTAACTTACCATAGTTGCATTGATAATAATGGATTATTTACTTTTATGGCTACCATAAACATTTGAACTGATAACATTCTGTTTTTGCAGCGCCTGCTCATAGTTCCTCCCGAACTAGCTTATGGGAAAAAAGGAGTGCAGGAAATTCCTCCAAATGCAACAATTGAGGTATTTTGTTGCATTCATGTATTACAAATAGTTTTCAAATAGTTTCTGAATGCCGTTTGAATTCAACTGTTTTTTACACCTATTATGGTCTTTTTTAACTTTTAGTTGGTTTGTGAAATGCAGCTAAATGCTGTTTTAGTATTTTTGTCTACAAAAGAATAAAGATCATTATCATCATTACTTTAGTAGTAATACCTATCAGAATCATCAAATATGTGGCTAGCGGAAACCTTTCTAATGGGAGTCGCTTCACCACGAACTAGAGGTTGTGCTGACTGCTGATAGAAACTCTTATTGGCATCTAACAGATGCAGAACATTCTTATCAACAGAAAAGCGTATTCCACATGTAGGGAATTCTAACTTTATGGGAAAAAGAATGTGGTTGTGAAAAAGTTTCTTTCAACTTCAGCCTCATAAAATGGCCATGGAGAATCAAAGTGTAAACCTCCAAAAACAAAGATAACATAACCTTTAAAATGTTCTTTGTTATGTGGACACTGGTTAGCTTTGTTCTTAGTGGAAAAGAATGTTCCAGAAGAAATGTTATATGTACATCCTTTTAAGTCTTTCCCACACTGACTATTTTTCTTCAGGTTTAAGTGATATACTAATGCGCTTCTTCAGCATTGTGAAACTAAAATATAACTAGTGCACGCTTAGTCAAGTATAATGGTACAGGGATCCATTTCATGATTTAAGAACATAAACCATAGCCTATATTATTTCATCTGTTTATTTTGTGTAGATTGAGAAAGATTGGTCATTTGCAGATTGAAGACTTTAGTCAACACCGGGCTTCTCCAGATGAGAAGAGATCTATCAGAAAACGGAACCAAAATAAGTTCCAAAAGAAAATAGGATATCACACCTCTAGGATAGTCCATTTTGAAGAAAAAAAAAAGAATCATTTTACCAAAAGTGGCCACCAATTTTTCGGGCTAGGTATCAGCCAGGTATCGTAAAAAGGTATGGGACCACATAGGTGAAAACAAATCTATAAAGTTTTAAGTGCACTGACGGTGGGAATATATGCACAACCTTGACAATGCTAGGACGCGTTCATTTCAAGGCTCTCAACTGGAAGCAAAATGCTATTTATGCAATGCTTTTCAACTTTTCGCACCAAATGATTAATTTCTGGAATGCTTAACCTTTTAGATATGGAAAACATGACATCCTTCTTTCGGCAAAGAAAGAATATTGCTCTCTCTTACACAGCGTCTCCCCGGCCCCTTGTGATAACGTGTGTCTTTGTGTTTTTATCATGTGGCTACGAAGTGGTGATATTGCAGTAGCTTGATAAAATTAGCAACCTTGTAGTCTGAATGAAAACCTCAAGCTGAGAACACATGTAGAGAAAACTTCGATTTAAATTGTGTCGAGACTGTAACGTCATACATAAGCCCCCAAATATCGTTGCACCAAATGAACGTCTAGAAATTTATCATATGCCTTTTTGCAAGATCAATCTGTCATTATTTTCTTATTCTCGAAATGGACGTCTTTATATCTTTAACATTATTATACGGCTATTGTATTTTTATTACTTCTCACCTTTTTATTTTTTAATCTACAGATTGATATTGAACTGCTTTCTATTAAACAAAGCCCATTCGGGTGAGTAGTCAGCTTTTAAAACATTCAAAAAAGTTAATGGACTTATTTCTTTGATTGAACTTCAATACTTAGCTTCATTATCCTCAGCATTTGATGTATTTACTGTACATTCTTTTCTTCTTCTTTTTTTGGTGCAGAACTGCTGTAAAAGTTGTTGAAGGATAATCACTATACTCATGTTATATTGGTTTGTCGCGTGCAGAAGTGCACATTGTATAAGTTTTGAGAATACTTAGAGATCTGCTCCTTGCCTCTCTACCTTCATAAGGTAGGGGTAAGGTCTGCGTATACACTACCCTCTCCAGACCCCACTTGTGTGATTTCACTGAGTTTGTTGTTGTTGTTACTTAGAGATTTGCTCCTGATTTGGTATTTTATCAGTAAAATGTCCCTAAATATGTTACTTCTATATTGTATAGTTCAAACTCATTACTTATTATCGCATTAACTATTATTGGCACAGTTGTTCACATACTTACGCAGGCTGCAATTATACAATGATAAAGTAATTGTGAACTGCTAGACATGTATATTTGTTGATAACTCGCGAATTATTTATGAGGAACTGAAATCATCCTTAGAATTCACTTCTTTGTCATTCTCCTTTTTTAGACAAGTTATTTCTTTAATAAGCAAAGATTAGAGACCTCATTCCAGGCAAATGGTAATTGAGTTGCAGATATACTATAAATATTCTGCCCTTTGTCATCTTCAGAAAAGAATCCCTTAGCCCAATGATTGCCAAAATCTTTTTGTTTAACTAGATTCTTTCTACTACCTTTTAAAAAAAATCATTCACCCACTTTATTCTCTTTTGTCCTGTGCCGACCTACAGATGCACCTGTACGTAGGTGTGGAACTATGGTGGAAGAAGACGTTAAAAGGGGACGGGGTAGACCTAGAATCACATGGAAGGAAGTTGTCTCGAAAGACCTATAAATCCTTGAAATTAATGCAGACTTAGCTAAAGATAGGGCACAATGAAAGAGAAAAAACCATATAGGTAATACCTACTAGTTGGGAATAGGTTTTAGACTTGGTAGAAAACTTCTATTATAACTATTATTGTTATTACTATTATATGTATATATATATATATGCCTCTCTACTCCTTCGGGGTAGGGGTAAGATCTGCGTACACACTACCCTCCCCAGACTCCACTAGTGGAATTTTATTGGGTTGTTGTTGTGTGTGTGTGTGTGTGTATATATATATATATATATATATATCTTTTTTAGTTGCTCTTTTTTATTTTGGTAATGACGATGATATGAGTTGAGTTAAATGAAAGGAATGAGGATTCATATCGTTGACCCCAAAGTGATTGGGACTGAGGCGTAGTTATAAGTTGTTGTACCCACTTTATTCTCTTTTCTTTGCCTATATTTACCCACCTTTGACATCCTTTCTACCACAATCTTTTCAACTTCTTCATTGCTCTCAAAAAAATGACCATGACCATGACTATACTATACATGAGGAAAACTCACTTGTATGTCTCACTGTTACTCCACTTCTTTCATTACTCTTATTCCCAGAAGACATGTCCAAACTGTGGTTCTCTAGAAGTACCATATCCGTTGAGCATAAATCCCGACTGTGGTAACCCTGACTATTCTATTCGTTGTGATCCTCACTCTCAAAAACTCTATCTTGATACCCTTAATGGAAGCTCTTATGTCGTCCTCAGAGTTATGGCCTCATTTCGGCGTATGGTGGTGCAACCATCACCTTGGCTACCTGGTACTTGTGTTACACAAGACATGCCAATTAGTGAAGGACTGTGGTTGAACCAGACTCTTCCTTTTAATGTTACTTCTTCTAACACTATCTTCTTATTTAATTGTTCTCCTCGGCTTCTGATATCTCCTTTAAATTGCACACCTTCTAGTTTATGCCACAAATATTTGCATAGCTCTGGACATGTAGATCCTAAAAGGGAACTTCAATGTGCAAGTGGTCTTGACCCATGCTGCACTTTTGTCGCTGGCGGTATGCCCTCAGCGTACAAGATACGCCTTCATAACTCAGGCTGCAGAGCATTTAGAAGCATTCTACACTTGAATGCTGAGAAGCCGGCTAATGAATGGGAGGAAGGACTGGAAATTCAATGGTCTCCACCACCTGAGCCACACTGTAGATCACAATCTGATTGCTCTGGAGCTTCTACATGTTCAACTTCTGGTAAAAATGGTGTCTTTCGCTGCTTTTGCAATCGTGACTATTATTGGAACCAAACCTTAGGAACTTGCATGAAGAAGAAGAAACACTCTGGAATTGTAATAAAGATATCTATTGGGATTGTGTTGTTTCTGGCTTTCACTGTTGTGATGATTGCAGCGGCACTGAAAAAATCAAGAAGATTTTCAACCAGGGCTAGACTTGCCAAGGCAAGAGAAGACATACTAAAATCAAACAACGGCGGAAAACCAGCCAAGATGTTTTGTCTCAAGGAGATAAAGAAAGCTACGAACGGATTCTCAAAAGACAGAATCTTGGGTCGTGGTGGTTTTGGAGAAGTTTATAAGGGCGAGCTTTGCGATGGAACTATTGTAGCAGTAAAGTCGGCCAAAGTAGGAAATGTGAAGAGCACTGAACAAGTACTCAATGAAGTAGAGATACTTTCTCAAGTCAATCACAGGAACTTGGTCAAGATTTTAGGTTGCTGTGTTGAAGCTGAACAGCCTTTGATGATTTACGAATACATTTCCAACGGAACACTACATGATCATTTACATGGAAAGTATTCGACCTTTCTTGACTGGAAAACAAGGTTAAAAATTGCTTCACAAACTGCAGAAGCATTGGCTTATCTTCACTCAGCTGCTTACCCTCCTATCTACCACAGAGATGTCAAATCTACAAACATACTCCTGGATAAAGAATTCAATGTCAAAGTTTCAGATTTTGGGCTATCAAGATTGGCTTGTCCGGGGTTGAGTCACTTGTCCACTTGTGCTCAGGGGACGTTAGGGTACTTGGATCCTGAATATTTTCGCAGTTATCAACTAACTGATAAAAGTGATGTTTACAGCTTCGGGGTTGTGTTACTAGAACTTCTTACTTCCCAGAAGGCAGTTGACTTCTCCCGAGACGAAGATAGTGTCAACTTGGTTGTTTATGTTATTCAGCGAGCAAACAATGGTTCGGGTACAGAAGTAGTGGACAGACGCTTGCTTGGTGAGGTGGAGCCTTTGACTCAGGTAATGACTTGTATGAACTCATTCTTGGAGCTTGCACTCGCGTGTTTAAGAGAAAAGAAAGCAGAGAGACCGTGCATGAAAGACGTCGTTCAGCATCTTCATTGCTTAAGTGAAATAGTTGATCAAGAAGAGCCTTCTAATTGAAGTTAGTTAGTGTAAAGATGAATGTGTAAAAGGCATTGACCTTTTGATTGTACTGAAAATGATGCCTGGAAAGAGTATAGAGTTTTATTACACTGAAAAAAAGGTTGAGAAGATATAAAGGAGGTTTTAGGTTGGGATAAGATCCTTACTTTGACCATAAAGCATGAATAATATTGAAGTCATGGATTTCCAATTATGTGAAAGTTGTGAAATTTTGATAGAATTTAGTAGAGAAATTTTCATAAAGCACTATCTTTTAGTAGTAATAAGCCATCTATAGATATCATTTGCTATATTACGGATTATAGATACTTTTTCTGTGGTTATAAGATGTATTTGATGTATTTAAGCTATTGTATTCATGAATACAGTAGCAAAAATAGGTGTGAATTAGGGAAGTCCAGCTAATCAGTTGTTGTATTCGAGTGTATTCGACTATATTCATGGAGTGAAATGTGGGATTACAGCTGGATAGATTATTGTATTCGACTGTATTCACGGCGTGAAATAGGGGATTACACTATTTTTAAAACGGAAAGTGAATCAATTAACATAATAGACTCCTAATATAACTCAACAAACTCAATTATAACACACAAATTTTGTATTTTCAATTATAAAAAAGATTCTCAACTGAAAAATACACCAAAAACATAGCAATCTTCAGATAAATTATACAATACATCTGAATACATAAATTATGTTAATTAAAAAAATATATATGCATACATTCATGGCATATAGCAAGACAGTGAATACAATGAAATATATAGAATACAACGGGATACATTTAAAATACAATGGAAAAAAGACAGTGAATACAATGAAATACATGGAATACAACGAAATACATTGAATTACAATGAAAAAAAAAGACAATGAATACAATGAAATACATGAAAATACAGTGTGATACGTTGAAAATATATTGTCTTTGTTCAAGAACCCACTACTTAGTTCAAGAACACACCCTAATTTTCGACGAATCCGTCGTCGAGCAAAAACCCTGAATCTCACTATTCCCATGCATCATGTACATTGCTTTTGACACATCAGTACCATCGTAGCTTTTATAAAATTTCCATAATTTTACCTTCTTTTGTTCAAGAGTAGGGTTTAGAAGAAAAGGTCGTTGATTTTGAATAGCGAAACAAATTTGAGTCTGGGAATCACCGTTCCTTCGCATGCTCTTTGCATTCAATCCATTCGTATATCCGTTGCAGTCATGGCTGAGGTATGACTACGTAGTCGAACCAGAAAAGAAATCTCTGGTTATCTATAACCACTAGGGCAATGAACAGAGGCAACAATCGTGGTTTTGTGGGAGAAGAGAGTAAAGTGTATGCAAAAAGAGAGAGAACGTGGTTTGTGAAATTTACCGTGATTATGTGAGAGAAAATTTGGAAAAGGAGAGAGAAAAATATTAGTTAGCATATATGATGCCTTAAGTGTAGGATATAACTATAATTAGATATTTTGCTATAAAGGGTAAAAGGTAGCTATATAATATATTTTTTTTAAATGGTATTTATTTAAAATAAATAGGGTACTAAGCTTTTCTATAAGGTGTAAAATTTCCAATTTAGTATAGTTGGCTTCGTGCACTTTGCTAAAAAGTATATCAGCTTTGGAGAATGGGCAAAGCAATATTGAGGAAGTTTCAACCTCAAATTATTAGTTTGTCTCTTGGCAAATTGACAATCACAAAGTTAAGTGGCTATTGGCTAATCATTGCCACTTTAGTGTTTATCCAAATCTTTGCTTCTTTCCTTCTCTCCTTACTTGACATGGTGTACCAATTAGTGTACCGGAGTTTTTGGAGCAACAGTAAAGTTGTCTTCGTATGGCCTCTAGATTACGGATCCGTCTTAGGTACTCTTTTAAGTCCATATAAGGCAGAGGGAATGAAGGGACTTGCAGGAGGCTGAAACAACATAGTGTCTTGTTTTCTTTTTTCTTTTTTGTTTTGGTGCATAAGGTACGCAGTTGGAAGCAACCACTAATATTTATATTAAGGTACGTTGTCTGCATCACACTTTTGGGGTAGACTCTTTCCTCGACCCCGCGTGAATGCGGGATATTTTGTGCACCGAAGTGTTCTTTATCAGATAATAGTACCTAATATTGGGAAAATAATATTACGATCATGTAGATTAATTTCAGATCTAAATTAAATTATCAAAGTTTCAACAAAAGGGGAGATTATACAATATCTCAAATAGTAAAATTATCTTAATTCGATGGAGAATGCTAATTTTAAAAAAACTCATTGGCTTTTGTTGATAGTGTGTGATTAATCTCATCTAAAAATTGAAGTTGTTAAAAATTGCACATTTTTATTTACTTTATTATATTTTCAACATGAGCCCTTATGCGTAGATTTTGATATTTTTTTGCAGGCGAAACACATGATTTTTTATTTTAATTTTTTTTATAGTATGATAGAGGGTGAGGCTTGATATGTTAATGTTACTCATAAAAACTTGATAGCAGCCCCATAATAAACAGATACCAACTTAACTACTCCATAAGATAAGGAGATATAGAAGCATATTTTAGTTTCTTTCTTTTTTCCAAAGTGGAAAAAGATTTTAGTTGTAGATTTTCTTAAATATATTTTTCGAGAGCTTAAATTCACTAAAATTTAAATTTTAAACTTTGATATGATTTTTTCATAACAACTAGTAACATCTTACTAACTTTTATTGTAGTATCTTTTTAGCAATATTATTCTTCTTTTAGCTATTTTGTGGAGTCCCAATTAGAGAGGACCACAAGTCACAAATTGCAACGTGTCAAAATTTCAGGTGATAGAAAATAGTGCATCCATTGGCAATATGACACGTAGTCGCTCTTTCCCACAATAAAGAAGAGAGGAATTTGGAAAGAGTATAAATAAAATATTCTATGATAATGTCTTTTAATAGTCTGACTCATAAGAGAAATCGGAAAGAAAAATTACATATTTGGTCGATCAACCAAAATTAATTATATGCGCTAGCCAATATACAAAAAAATACAGGCAAAATACATAAAACGTCCTTTTAAGTTGTCATCAACGATCAACTGGTTCATTTATCATTTTGACACTTCGAGTAGCTATTAAGTATATCAAAAACATATGCGTCAATTACACTTGTCTAATGAACCAATTAAAAAATGACACGCATTATTTTGATTAAAACGAAAAAATAAAATAAAAATCTGAACCCTTCCCCGCACGCTCGCCCAACCTAACTTCCCTTCTTCTTCACCTGAAATTGCAACACAGCAGCAATGGAGGAATCCTAAAGCTTTAAAGCTTTAATATCTTCTCATACTAATTGAGAGAAAGTTTTTAGCTCAAAACAAAACCTTTTTTTCGTTCTCCACTGTATATTTCTAATTTTTTTCCTGCTTTCTTGTTCACATTTTTGAATTCAATTTCAAGTTTTTGAGCAATAAATCTGGAAATATCAACAATCCTCAATATCATCTTCTTCATTTTAGAAACCAAGTTTTGGTTTTTCTGCACGTTGCTGTCGGTCGTCTTCACCAACGAAGCCAAATGCCATTACTCCCTCTACAACCTCAATATACTGAAAAACTCCATTTCTTTATCCTAAAAATTCGGCCCCAATAGAATTTGGAATATAAAATCGGCATCTACTTACATAATACCAATTTGTGAAGTCCCATAAAACTAAATTAAATGTTGAATTGCAAAATAATATAAGACAAAAAAGAGAACATCTTTTATCTACAACCAAGACAATGGACCTAGGCTTGTAACAACGGATGACTGCACTCGCACATGCATATACTTCTTGATCCTTTCACCAGTAAAGCATGATATTGAGAGGAGAAGGAGGTGTGAAAATTAGGCGGGGTCCATATTATTTTAGGAAGAAAAAGAAAAAACCTAATTTTAGCTAGTTGATTGTTGAAGACAACTTAAAGAGGCGTTTTATGCATTTCGCCAAGAATATATACTGATCATGTATAAAATATATATATTTTCTGTATATTAAATATTGATATACAAAAGGTTGTACATTTTGTCGGCTATTATTTTTTAGAGCAGCTATACTTTGTAGTTTTCCCAAATAATTACTATATTTAACAAAATACATAAATAGCCCCTCCAAGTTGTCCACAACGGTCAGTTGAACACCTCAACTGAGACCTTTTTCACTTAAAACATATCACGTGATTAAAAACTGAACTCAATAAACACCCGACCTCGCCATCCCACGTCGCGTGTGTTACACCTCCGGTGTCTTTTATAAGAACGAATTAAAAGCTGACACGTGGACAAACAATAAGAAATAAAGAATTAAAAACATAAAACATAAAACATAAAGGTAAATTTTCATCGTTTCTTCCGCCTAATCTCTCTCTCTCTCTCACCGAATAACCCATCTTCATCTCTTAGATTAAGCTTGGTTCAATCGGCATTTTTGTTGCAAAATTAAAGATTTCTTTCACTTACTAAGTATGATTAGTTGTTCTTTGTTCGAATTGTAGCGTGATTCAAGATTTATCACCTGAAGGAAGATCATCCTAGGGTTTTGACAGTGGATTTTTTGTGAAAGGGGGAGTCAGCTGTAAAATGGCTTCGATTATTGCATAAAGGTATGTTTATATCATGTTTTTTTCTATTTTATCGTTATATGTTTGTTATGGTGCTATTAGATTAGGGTTTTTTTGTTCTGGAAAATTGAAAATGTCAGAGAATATTGACTGATTTTGTTTTGTCATTTTTAGTACAGAGTCACATGGACGAATATATTGGTGTTGTTTTTCATCATGGGGGTTACTTTATTGATGAAAAGTATGTGGGGGAGGGTGAAATAATAGGGCATGTGGTGGACAAAGATCATTTCTTTTTTACCGAGCTTGTGTCCTACATAAAAGAGACCCCTGAAATGCGCTACAACTCTGTTGGTGGGTTATTTGTTCAATGTCCTAAAACTCAAAAGTTCTTTCTAATTGAAAATGACTATCAACTGCTAAATTTGACTAAAGACCTGAAGGATGGGGATCGCTTTGATGTCTATGTGAGTCATGCAATAGATAATTTAGAGGTTGTGGATGAGGATGTACTTGTGGGATATTTACCTTCCTCACAAGTTGGTGATAGTGACCAGACTACAGAAATTAGGGGTGGTTCAGGGGTTAGTATATATGTTGGTGAGGGCATTGGTGTAAATG